GTTCCTTTCCCTCAAGAGGCCATGAGGGTGATCATGCAGAGAAAGTCCTGGCAGAGTCCCCTGGGTGAAATGCAAATGGTGTCTGTCTCCCCGGTCCAGGACGCTCTTGGTTTAGCTCCTTGTAGCATCACCCAACCTGCTCACTCAGACAGGGAGGGTGTCCGCTAAAGATGACGTCACTTGAAGTGGCAGACACGCCAGGCTGTGTATCAGCAGTTTTGTCTCCTGTTAGGTAACCAGGGTCAAGAATTCTCCCAGCCGTGCCCCTGTTTTGGAGGAAAGAAAGCTAGAGTGCGTTGCAGCTCTGGGCCTCCCCTACTGACTTGCCTCTAATCTCCCACCTGTAAACTGAAATAATAATAATACCATTTTTCTATTAGACTGAGAATGTAAAAATACAGAGCCTCTATTCTTGGAGGAAGGCATGTCTCCACAGGTTTAACCGATAATAGATTGGCAGGGGCACACAGACCTCAAACTGAACTTAATAAATGGAATCATTGACCACATCCCTTTTCTCAGCAGAAGCTGAAGACAGTATGTATCGTCTGTGCGAGGAAAATCAAATCAGCGCCCCGCGCAGCGGATGCGCGAAGTGTGCTTGATGCTGCCTCGGTCGGAAGGACATTACCCATTGTGACAAACCTGCTTCTCCCTGGGAGGTGATAATGCAGTTGTTATTACTTTTTATAATTTAGCCAAGAACTGCTAACACAGAGATTTTTAGTCAGGATTTAACAAATTTTAAATAATGGAGCATACTAATAGACCAAATTGTACACACAGTCAATATAATCTTACTCAGAGAACTCGCATTATGTTTTCTGACATTAAGAGATATATTGGGATAATGAAGTTTTTAGTCCTTGGTTTTCAATTTTAAGGATATCATTATTTTGCATTTGTGGGATTCTGCACTCACTTAACAGAATCTGTGAGAATTATAAAAGGACTTTATGAATGCTAAGCCTTTGCTGGTATGATTTAAATTCAAATAAAAATACATGGGGTCATTTTTATTAGACAAACTGACCATAACCAAGAGTTTCATTTTCCATTTCCCTTCAATATTTACTGCCCTAACCTTGCACAAACCAGGAAATGAGATATGCATGTAAACTTCACCTCCATTAAAACTGTCAGTGAGGCTGTGAAAAATTTCTTTTGTGTGTGTAAGGGGCAGGGGAAGTGCATTTATAGGTTTATTTAAAATTTATACAAAAGAAGAAATGTGGAAAACATATACAAAACCAGGATAGCAATATGAGTATTAGTCTAGAGTCAAGAATTTTTAATTTAGCACCATCACTAGTAAATACTCAATGAATATACAAATATATAAACACCATTTAAATGTTTTTATTTTGGTTTCAAATTGAAATCAAAATGTTACATATTTTAAAATGGAAATAATTCTCCCTCAAGAAACTTCTGATCTTATCAGCAGAAAATACTGTTATCTCCATTTATAAAATGACTTTAACTATTTCAAAGCATTTTTCAACCTGTGTGATTTTATTTTATTTCTACAGCTCCCTGGCAGACAGGTAAAACAACATTATTAGCCACTTTTGCCCTTCATGTGACTGAGGCATGGGAGAGAGAAGAGAGCAAACTAGTATTTATTGAAGTAGCAGTATTTTTACTAGCTGTATAGCGAAGCTCTTTTAATTTGTAAAACTAGCCTTTAAAGTGCATATTATTATTTTGATTTTCAGCCAGGGAATCTGAAGCCCAGAAATCTCAAATTATTTGCCTAAAGTCACACAGCCAGTAAGGGCTACAACCAAGGTTTGAAACCCAGGTCAGTCTAATTCCAGAATCTACTACATCAGACTGTTTGCATTGAATGTTAAAAAACATATTACAGAAAAGGGTCAAACTACTTAGTAGAATAGCCTTAAAAGGATTCAGGTGTCCTGAATCCTAGTGCCATGAAGAGGGCGAGAAAATAAAGATCCAATATAATAAAATGTTTAAGCAAAGATTATATGTCTCAAATTTAAACTACAATAACTGTCAAGTAGCAAAGAAATTCAGTTGTAATTATGAAAGTTTATAGAGTTTTGAGGGGTTTCATATTTGAGTCTTAAAGGATGAGCAAGACTGATCAAAAGTTACAAGAAGACTATTATAATCCACTTATTTCTAAAACAGTATTTCTCAAACTTTGGTGCACATCTGAGTCATCTGGGGAGACTGCTAAAAATATAGATGCTACAAATCAACTTGTAGAAATTTAGTCTAAAGTCTCATTTCCTGAACGGTAATCTGAGGAAACAAAATATGGTCTGGGAAAAGAGGGTTCCATGGACGAGTAAGTGTGGGAAATGGCACTTTGTGTAAAACCTACAAGTTGATTTTATATACTAATAAGCTTCAAATTTGTGTACTCACAGTGGGTACTATGTCTAGGAGAGAGAGTCCTAGAGCTAGGGGAGGGTCCCAGAGGTTTTAATGTCTCCGAGCTGTGGAGGAAAGAAAACCTGAGCAGCAAGCTAAAACAAGATCAGAGGCCAGCAGAAATTGATTTGTGTATCAGACTGGCGGCCAGAGGCAAGAATAATGCCTGGGTCAAGAGATGGAAAGGAGGGAGGAGGTAGGGATGAGGTACAGGAACATGAGCGGCTCAGGCTCTTAATCCAGGACTGGATTTTATGTGCTTTAATGTGCACATGCTGCCTCCCCGTGAGTGGAGTGGACAGTCAAGCAGGGTCACCCATAGTCAAGCGTCCAGATGCTACATGCTTCAGGGTCTGGTTCATGGTTTTGACACAGGAATCCTTCCCTGAATAAGTTAACCACCCTTCCCCACCTCCTGTTTTTAAACTGTCTTCATGTTTAATTTTTCCAATTTTCTCCTTCTTACTTGATTGTATGTTGTCTGTTATTGGTCCATAATTCTTTCATGTCTTCTTTTCTTGCTAATTATACTGTAAGCTTTTTTGAAGGAGGAAATTATATCTTATGCTTCTCAGTGACTCCATAATGTCTCGGATGATGACAGCAGCTGCTTTGGTTATCAAGTACCATGCAATAAACCACCTCAAAACTAGTGGCTTAAAGCACCAACTGTTTGTTACTTCTCATGGTTTTGTGGGTTGACTGAGTGGTTTTCCACCTGGAGCTCTGGGATGGTTCACAGGACCACAGTGTCCTCACTCACGAGACTGGCATTTGGTGGTGGCAGGGCAGGCTTCACCAGGCACACGTGGGAAGTCACGTAAGGCTCTTGCTCAGAAGTCTCCCACCCTTGGTTTTTAATGCTCTTTGGTTGCCATCTTGAAATTCTTGAAAGATTTGTTTCCATTTGTATCTGGTATGTGAAGAAGGAGGGACAAAGAAGTATGCAAGCCTCAGGGACTCGGAGACTTGGCTCGTGTGCAGTCCCACCTCTAACCATCTCCCCGAAGCCTTGGGATGGCTCCTTGGCTCCTTGGGCTCCACACTGTCTCTTCCTTCCAACACCTGCCCCATGAGCCCTTTCGCCCTCTTCCCTGTTGCATCTGTGAGTGGGAGGTTAGGATGTTACTACCCTTGTTCCTGTCAGGATCCTGGAAGCAGACTTGGGGAAGACCAAATTCAGGAGTGCCGTCACATCTTGGGGCATCACAAGGGGGTTTCAGTCCCGCCTGGGACGGTGGGACCATGGAAAGTTCAGTAGACAACTCTTGACCACTGCCAGTCCAAGTTCTGGGCATTTCCAGTATGGAGATTGCAGTCCCTTGGGGTTATGCATCCACTGTGCACTGGGGCTGATGGGGTTCAGGACATGCTACCCCAAAATATGGCACCTTGGCATATTAAATATCTTACACTGAAGGAGATTTTTTTTAAAATGGCAGAATTATGAAGGTCACTTAGACCTAGTTCTTCCTCATCCTTCTTCCCTGAAACAGGCCTTAGAACTTTCATGTGAAAGATATCCTCCCTAACCAGGAGGAAGGAAGATATCCTTATCACTGGAATTAGGGAACTGGGAACCAAGAAATCTCTACAAACAAATCTTGTTCAACTGACCCTTATCTTCCTAGTTACTTCTTCACCATTTACTGCCCTAGCCCAAACCCCTTTGTTTTGTCAATTCTTCACAAATGTATTGTTTCTTTGTCTAAAAGGTGTAAAAACTTCCTGCTCTGGTCACTTTTCCAAGTCTTCATTCTCTTGTGAAGTCTCCCGTGTACATGTAAAAATTTAATACAGTCTGTATGCTTTTCTCCTGTTAATCTTTATCAGTTTAATTTCTAGGCCCAACCAGGGACCTTAAGAGGGTTGAGGAAACCTTTATTCCTCTACAGGGTGTTGGGCCTAAGGAAAGAGAGACTGACTTTAACCCTAGCTGGGGACCATGTTTTCATTTTGCACTGGACCCTGCTAATGATGTGGCTGGCCCTGGGTGTTGGTTTCCTTTCCTAGGGTTGGGGGAATCTGTTCTCCTCCACATAGGCCTTCTTACATTATGGCAACTGGATTCCAGGAGTTCCAAGAAACCAAAGCAGAAGCTGGAGATCTCTTAAGGCTCACTCTTGGAAATTATGCAGAATCACTTTTACACATTTTATTTATTTAGTCACAGTCACAGGACCAGCTCAGTCAGAATCAGGGGCAGAGGAAATATACTCTACCTCTTAAGGAGCATTGGCAAGGGCACAGGCAGAAGAGCATGTGGGATGGGAGAGGCTGTCAGACACCCTGACTATCATGCAGCTGAAAGCTTCAAAGTATGTCTACGGAAAAAATGCAAAATCTGAAAGTTGAGAGTTATATTCTATCTGGCGGGCATTTCTGAGGACTTAAGCCTGGGATACAGCCTCTCAGAGAGTTCTGAGAGACTGCTCTGAAGAGGCAGGAGAGGAGCCAGGATATAGGAGTTTTTGCAACAAAGACCAGGTAGTCGAAACATTGAAAGGTTGCTGTTAATTAAAGAAAACCAGGGTATCTCAAGTTAAGGAATTTAGTGCTTTTCTATGGGAAGTTGCAAAAGTCTAAACTCACTGAAGTCATTCCTTTGATATGCACTAGGGCCAGTATCCTGTGCTTTCCCATCCTGAGTTCCCTCAGGGTGCACATTTGGGGGTGGCTGCAGAGGCCAGACTGGCTGCTTGTCTCCATCCCGAGTTCCCTCCGCTCATTGTCTGGGGTGGTGTTGGTGGCTGATGACTTGATGGATGAAGCATACTTTGTTTACTGAAATGGCAGGCAATATTTTCATTCACAAGAATAATGGTGAAGAACACGGCCTTCAGAGTTAGTTAGACAGGGGTTCAAATCTCTGCTCCACCACTGTCTAACAGCTAAACCTATTGAGTTCCTCTTTTGTAAAGTGAAGGTTGTTGTAAGGGTTAAGTATGCTATGCACAGTGCTTGGCATGTACTCAACATTCAACAGACGGTAGCTACCATCACAGTGGCGTCACAGAAGACTCTCCTACAGGGATGATAAAAGCTTGTATCGCAAAAAAAAAAAAAAACTGTAACAATTACAGACTTATTTATTCCCTTGGCTAATAAATACTATGTCTGATAGTGCTTAAAAGTCAAGTTGGCTATGGCTAAATATTTACTGAAGAGCATGTTCCCACGTGGACACCTGAGAAGTATTCATATTATTGAAAAACACATAATTCTGATGGAGGCAACATTTTAACATAATTATTTTCCAGAACTTGACTAACAGTCAATTCTAATAGAAGGAGAGAGAGTGTGGAGATGCTAAGCATCCTTCTCAGAGCTCAGGGCCCCACAAATCTGGGCACTGAAGACACATCTCTCTTCCTAAACACATGTGGTGATGAAGAAATAGTCAGCGGGTAACTGGTCTTTAGTTTAATTTAAAATAGTGCAGCAGAAACCCCTTCAGCAAATGTTAGAGAAATTTGATGTTTTATTACTTTCTATTTATGGTCTGACATGATACGGAATGCAAACAACTGTTGATAAACCTGAGAATCTCTGACCTTTAGTTTCTGCCCAAGCACTTCTCACTTAAAGTAGTGAAAAGAATATATATGTCTTCAGTCAACAACAGAAACTCTTTCTCATCTAAGCCTAACATTTTATTCCTACTTTTCTCTGGGTAAAAATAATCATTGTGATGGTAAGAAAATTAATATAACCTCTCAGGGAATCTGTCATTGTTATCACTGGAAATGAGCCAATGAAGAAAAGGTGAAGAGAGACCCTTTCTGGCTAAACTGACCGAAACGGTGCAACAATGGAGAATAATAAAATACAATTAAGACTGAAAGTGACCTGAAGCTTTAAGTATCACAGTACTTAATGGGACATGAAGACCACGTAAAGGTCAGCAGCTCGGAAGTGACCTCCTGCTTATAGTATGTAGGTCAAAAAAGAGCCCAAACCTCTTGAAATATGTGACTTAACATCTGTGAAGTGTAAATTGTTGTGCAATTTACATTAAAATAAAATAGGATTTTTCATTGACTAAACTGACAAAAATTTCTACTAGGTAACCGTCAATACTGGTAAGGGTGTGGTGAGAGAGGGAGTTCACATTTCTGAAAAGTAGTTTAGCCCCAAATCTATCAAATAGCTCAGGAAAGTTCCCAATTTTGTAGTCAACAATTATCCTTAAAATTTTTTTGAAAAAAAATTTAAAGCTTCAAGAAATAGATATGTGAAAAAAAAAAGTTCATTACAGCAATGTGTGTGTGTGTGTGTGTGTGTGTGTACATACACACATACAACAATAGAAGAATGGTTTAATTACAGCACATCCCAGGAATGAAATATGCTGCTACTTAAAACTAGGTTTTAGAAGACACTTAATGACACAGGGAAAAATCTCATAAAATGATATCTGGTTTAAAAAAAAAGCAGACATAAAATTACAGAGCATTACTTTTTTCAATAAATGTCTTGAAATAAAACAAGTGGAAGATGGAGAGAAATGCAGATTAGTTGGCAGAGAGCATGTAGATCCCCCCAGACAGATCCTCCCACTAAGAACCTCCAGGTAATGTGACTTCAAAATTCTAATGAACATGTCACTTGGATTTTACGTTGAAAGGATGAAGCCATGGCGACTTAAATAAGCCTCTTTACTTCTGAGGGGAATGGCCTGGAAGATGACTTACAAAATAACATATGCAAATTGCATGCATTCCCTGAAAAAAAACCGAGCATTGCTCAGTTAAATATTCATAAAATAATGTCTTAAAATGTTCATCTTCATATGCTGGCTTACATCCTGTAAAATAAAGGTATTATGAAAGTTATAGCATATTTTAATCTCTAGTTTGGAAGTTAAGTATGGTATAAATCTTACATAGGTAATGCTATAGTCAAATAATACCATTGCAGTCTCCTGTATAACTAAGAGGTTGTCTTCTGTTTTGCCCCAAACCTCTGTTTCTGGGTAAACAATGCATTCGTCCAGCAGCCCACAATTCTTTATTGAGTGCCTACTGTGTGCTATGAAGAGTTGCATTGGAGAGTTGATGTGAATAGGATGGACGTGGTCCCTGGCCTCCCCTGGGCTACTTTCTAAAGGGGATGATGGATAAAAACAAGGAAATGAGTAAATAAAATAATTACCAGAGATGATGGGAATGATGAAGAAAAGGCTGGTTCAGACTCAGTATTCTGATATGGTATAAAGTACTGCACTGGGATTTGAGAAGTTTTTTTTTTTTTAAATCTTTGAAAAGCTTCATTGTGAGTATGGCTGCTATAGAGCTAATATTTTTCCATAATAATGAGGTTTAACACTTTAGTGGTCTAGTTTGAGACAAATTAGATGTCTAGAAGATGTATGCTAAACTACAGCACAGGTCATAGTGTCTTGGGGATGACATAAGCCCTGGTGATACCCTAGGAGGCTCTTATTGTTGGGTCTAACGGAGGCTAAAGCCAGAATGAGGACTCCATCACATTCTTGGGGACCAGACTGGAATTATTTTCCAGTGCTTACTGTTCATTTTGTGCTACCCACCGTCAGATGGGTCTACTTCAGCTCTGAAGGTTCTGTCTTCTCTCTCCTCTTAGACAAGACTGTGCCCAGCTGAGTCTGCAGACTCAACTCTTCAGTCCTCTTTTCTCTGTTATTTATGTTCCTGTTGCCCTTTTCTCTCCCTTCTACCTACTGTCTCATCAAGATAACAGAAGTTCGCCATCTGACAGTCTTTCTGAAAGACGGACGCTTGGCCGGAAATCCTAGAATCATGGGGGTTCTAGGAGAGAGAGGGGAAGGGATGAAAAAAAAGGAGAGTAGGACGTAGAAGATGATCATCTGAGTGGAGGAGCATATCAAATCTCAATGAGTAAGGTCATATATATTTATTTGTTCCTTGCTCCATTTCTCAATATTTCCCTTAATGTAAAGAGTGTCTACTATTTATGCTAGATAATTCTGAACAATGTATCTCCCCACCCCTTGACACAGGAGGACCACAAATAAAAAGTTCAAACATCACAGCTACTCCTTAAAAGCCCAGATTTGAACTAGCAGAGAAAGTGTTTTCAAATAGGATGGTCTCAGAAACAACCAAGATACGACCTGTCTTGAGAACACTTTGGCAATGTGTATCGACAGCAATAAAAGCGTTCACATTGTCTGACTCAGTAATCCCCCATCTCGGCAAATGGCTATTCCTGAAACTCTGATGTCATCCTTGACTCTTCTCTTTCCCTCAATTCACTTTCAATTTACTGTGAATCCCAAGGCTCTACATTTGCAAGAATCCAACCATCTTTCTGCACCTCCCCTACTAACAGACCATCATGATGTGACTGTGGATGACCAGCAGTCTGCTAAAGGATTTCTGTGCTTCCATCTTCGCTCTCATCTCTCCATTGGCCACCAAGCAGCCACAGTGATTCTTTTATCTAAGTGAGGGGTGCTCATTCCCATAATATCATCTCATCTGCGGTGTACCTAACCTGTGTGATCTTGTCCTGAACTCAGCTTCCGTCACTCTCTGCCCCAGTCACTATGTCCTCCCTGTTGTTGAGCAAACAGACCAAGCAGTTTTGCCGCAGGGCCTTTGCACGCAGCATCCCAAGCTTGGACCGCTCTTTCTTCAGGCATCTCCATGATCAACATCACACCATTCAGAAAGGCTTTCAAACTGATCAAATGTCAACTTGTCAGGAAAGCCTTTTGTGATCACCCAGCCTCTATCACTCTTGTCTCTGTCACTCCGTTCCATTGTTTGTTTTTCCTCTGTAGCCATGATCACCACCTGGCATCTGTATTTGTTCACTTTCTCTCTCTCTCCCCACTAGAATAGAAGCACACCAGAGCAGGGACTTTGTTTTGTTGTCTGCTGGGTGCTCAGGACTAGAGGAGCGCCTGGCACAGAGTAGGACCTCGCTGAATATTTGTTGAATCAGTAAGCTGGGTTTGTGAATTTCCTTTGATTCCCATCACTTCTCTTCGGGCGCTTCTACCACCCACCTATCAGACTGTAAATCAGGGGCACATTAGTATACAGAGCTCTTGGCCACGTTTTTGTCTCATGGTAATTAAGAGACTGTGGCTCTGCGGCTTTCTGAGAACAGGAATTGAAAGCGGTCCTGGGAATTCATAAAAATGCCATCGCCTTTTTTCCCACGTACCCACAGCTTTGGTCTGCCTGTCCCTCGAGGCCGAAGATAAGCCCCAGCTGAAATCTGCTTTCTTCAACGGTCAGATCTCCAGGAAACACTGCTGCCTGCTTGACTACTGTAACGACTTATTTGGAACCTAGCATATGTTACCTTGGATTATTGTTCTGACATTAATAATAATCCTATCTCACCAACTAAGGTGCAAATCGCTCAAGGTGAAGGACCATGTTTTAACATTTACTATGTGCAGAGCAGGTATGAGGCATGAGGACTGATGACATGGCTCCTATTAGAGAGGGTCTCACTGTCTAGGACTTTCATTTACACTATCTTATTTCCTCTTGCAAAAACATCTGTGTGATAGTTAGGGAAGACAGTACTATCCCAATTTTACGATAAAGATACTGAGACTGGAGAGACTAGGTGGTCTGCTGATGGACTGTGGCAAGACCAGTGCTCCTTCCCAAGGGGATGCAACACACAAAGCGAAGAGAATGCGGGCTCCTGGAGAGAGAGAGCTTTGGACCCCAACTCCGGTAATGGCCATCTGAGTGGATTCGGAAAAGTTATTTAATATCCCAAGGGCTTCAGTTACCTCCTCCGTGAAATCTGGTTGATA